CAGAGTGCTTGTTGAGAATCTTGATAAGAGGCTATCTTTCCTAATACTTTCAATAGCTCATTTTCTCTTTTCTCTAGAATTTTGATTATTGTTTGTTCTTTCGTTGACATATTGACACGCGATAAGAAGAATTTAACATATATTGTTATTATATGGGTGTCTTTTTAATCACGTGATCAGATAAATATTGTTGTGTATTTATTTTTTCGTTTGGTATATATGGCAATAAGTTGCTATATTGATATTAGGAAGTCTATGACACGTGTTTTTGAGAAAAGATTGATTTTTTTGAAAAATTTAAATATATATATATATATTTCTTTTATTAATTTATTAATTTATAATTTTTGAACAATATATAATAACAAACCATTGATGATAAATCTAGTGAATAAAGATTTATATTAATTCTTTAGAAAAATAAAATATTGTTTTTTAAATTTGACTTAAAGTACTTTGATATAATAATAAGTTAATTATAATATAAAGAATCTATAATATAATAAAAACTTTCAATAAAGATTAAGTCATATGACATAGTTATGAATTAAAAAAAAAAATTAATAACTATAATAAAATAAATTAAATAGAAAATAATATTTTATAAAAAGTTTATAAAAATTTTTTAATTATATTAATTAATAATATACTGTAATAAATTATCTATTTCTTTAAAGCTGATAATAAGTAAATTAAATCTTTATAAATAAATAAAATATAAAATTTACAAAAAATAAAAAGAAATTATTATTATTTATTTATTAATTTTTAAAATTATAATATAAGAAGAATAAATAATAAATTTGAAGTAATATTAAATAAATTTTATAAAAACTATAAAAAAAGAAATTAAAGCAAAAAAATATACAGTATATATATATAATTAGTAATATATAATAAAAAAAAACCATAAAAAAATAAATAAATATCTAAACTAATCAATTAGATCTTTAAGATTAGTTAAGAAATTATATATTTAATAAAAAATAATTTAATAAAAAAAATAAAAAAATAATTATACTATATTATAATAAAAGAATTAAAAATAAAGAAATAAATCTTAAAATATAAAAAACAATTTTTAATTTTATTAAAAAATTTTCAAATATAAAAAGTAAATAGATCAAAAAATATATTTAGTTTAAAATGAGAATATGCAGCACGTAAAAATTGTTGAAAGAAAAAATTATTATTTAGATCATATAAGATTGATTAATCAGTTAATTTAAGTTGAAAAATTTATGCAAATGGCGCTACACTATACGTGATTAGTAAGGAATTCTTTATCATTTAATGCTATCCACAGGACTTTAATTTTGATCATATATTATAGAATCTTGATTATCACATTTTTAAATATCAAAATTGTGATATATGGACGTTAGATATTATATTAAAATGAAAAGGTACTTTTCACCTTCTTTTGCGTTTCCTATTACGTACTTCCAAAACAAGTAAAATCAGTAATAAGAGGATCGTGTCTGCCTTTGAAAGTTACGAATAGTTCACCATCTGCTTCGTCCTAAACTCAACTGAGAAAACATGTCTTACACCAGTGTAGCCCGTTTGTATGCCAATGTTAATCACAACATGCCTCGAGAGTACTGGGATTATGGTAAGTCTGCTCGAATAATAACTGAGATCAAATGGTAACAAAACTTATGTGTACATATTTAAATTTTTTTTACAGACAATTTACAAGTTCAGTGGGGGTAACGTGAAGTTATTTTCAAACCAGTGATGAGATCCTTCACATAGGTATAATGTGAAACAAAATCTCACGAGGTTTATGTTTTTCTTATTTAAATTAGGATACAAGACAATTATGAAATAGTGCGCAAAATCGGTCGTGGGAAATATTCCGAGGTGTTTGAGGGAGTCAACATCGTGAATAATGAAAAATGTGTCATCAAAGTTCTTAAACCTGTAAAGAAGAAGAAGATCAAGCGTGAAATAAAAATTTTGCAAAACTTAGCTGGAGGTCCAAATATCATCTCGCTTTTGGATGTTGTGAGGGATCCTCAGGTACATACATAAAAAAAAGAGAGAAGTTTTCAGGGATTACGCAGTATATATATATATATATATTAGATAAATCTTTCAGGACAGATATTTTTGCAAGCTGATCGGATTCAACTTCTTGTATAAGAGCCATCGTGGCAGAATTTAGGCATACGTACAAGCGACGAACTAATATATCACATTTTCTGACTTATAGTCGAAGACGCCATCTCTTATTTTCGAGAATGTAAACAACACTGATTTCAAAGTGTTGTATCCAAAGTTTTCCGATTACGACGTTCGCTACTATATCTTTGAGCTTTTGAAGGTATAAATGTGAATTTCAATTTTCACCATTTGACTAATATCAAATTGCACGAACATTGCCGTTAACCTTTGATTCTCATTTTGTATAGGCATTGGATTACTGTCATTCGAAGGGTATCATGCATAGAGATGTGAAACCGCATAATGTGATGATCGATCATGAAAAACGCAAGGTAAGATCAGGGTATGAACGTTATTTTCTGGAGATGAAAGAATCTGACCTTAACCATTCACTTCTTATTTCTAGTTGAGGCTGATAGATTGGGGTTTAGCCGAGTTCTATCATCCAGGAACTGAGTATAATGTGCGCGTTGCTTCGAGATATTTCAAAGGTCCGGAGTTGTTGGTTGATTTCCAAGAATACGATTATTCCCTTGACATGTGGAGTTTAGGCTGCATGTTTGCTAGCATGGTATGATTACATTGCTTTGAGCACATATAGATTGCTTTTTATCGTCAAACGATATCATATGATTATATCTATTCTCAGATTTTTCGCAAAGAACCTTTTTTCCACGGACACGATAATTACGATCAGTTGGTAAAAATCGCTAAAGTGCTTGGCACCGATGAACTCTTTGCATACCTTGATAAGTACGACATAGAGCTAGATGCTCAATATGATGATATCTTGGGCAGGTAGGTTAAATGTTATTCGCATTAAAGCTCTTTCTATCCTATCACATTTTTAGGTAGATAATTTTCTTTCAGATATCAACGAAAACCATGGAATAAATTCATCACTTCCGAAAATCAAAAGTTTGTTACGAAAGAAGCAATCGATTTCCTCGATAAATTGTTGCGATATGATCATCAGGTTCTTTTTCGTCATTATGTTATTTTATTTGTATGCCCTCACATTAACCCCTGTCATCATCATTAGGAACGATTGACACCCGTAGAAGCCATGGAGCATCCTTATTTCGGTAAGAAATACATTTTGTTTTCTCAAATGATTGTACCACTTCTGATAATATCCCTCCATTAAATATATAGACCCAGTAAAGCAACAGTCTCGAGCTGAGGGAAATGGAACTCGCGCATAATTTCCGGGCTTTCAAGAGGTGTTGGCAAATGAACAATGTAAAATTTATTAAGTTGTGATCTAGGATGAATGTTGACTGCATGAAGATTAAAAGAACAATGGGATATGTTGTTTTAAGGAAAAGTGTAGAAGTGAGTTGAGTTATTTTCTTAACTAAAAATTTTTTGTATAAGTACATTATTATTTTCTTTCTTCATTCCTTTTTTTTTAAAAAGAAAAAAAAAAAACAAAGACTTGCATAATCTTTTAGCAAAAGAATTTTATTTCCTTTTCACGTCATGCCATGATTATTACGGTATATTTATTTAATCAAAAAAAAAAAAATTACTATTATTGAAGTGAATTTATGTTATAGCAAGCAGTATTCATGCCGATATTTGGGACTATTATTCGATTGATGCATTGATGGTTAACCAGTTTCGTCTTGCGATTTTTCCAGCGTTAGTAGTCTTTCGAATAAAACTTGATTGAATTTTTCAACATATTTAGGACTGGTAACCGATAACAATGCATCCATTGATTCAAAAGGCTTATTAATACATTTGTTCAATTTCTCGATGTTCGAGCTCTCGGTTTGAGAGAAATCGATATCGGTGATCTGTGATAAGGCAAGGGGGGTTAGGACGTTTCTCTAGCAGAACCATTGTTTTATATTGAAAGAGGTGAAAGAGCTATAATACATACGGTGAATCCAAACTCGGTAATTGTTATTACTAATTGAACATTTTCGAGTAAGCCTATTTGAAATTTTGCTGGCTTTTTGCTAAGAATCTTTATGGAATTCGGGATGATGCCATACTCATATTCTTTTAGTACGTTGATTAGCTCCTGGATAACAAAATCTGGAGAAGAGGACATTTCATATTAACGAGCCAATAAAAAGTATTTTGTATGCGTTTTTTAACGCGACACGTGATTATGCCAGTGAAGCACGCGAAATTTCGCGATCCATGATTTGTATCACCCACCCGCCCAACACTTATTAAGTTTTTTTGATATTATTTTTTTTTTGTTTTTTTTTTGACTAAAAGTACTCTTATATCAGTACTAAAATAGATAATGCAATTGATGCAAACTATTGTCTATTTTTTTTGTTAATTTTTGTTACTATATATTTGATTTTTATCTATGAATTTGAAATATTTGTATTTTTTATATCTTATTGTATCTATATTTAAAAATATAAAACTACTTTTTTTATTTAATTTTTAATCAATAATATGTTTCAATTACTTGTATAATAAATTTTTTATATTTGCTTTTATTAATTATATTATTATTATTATTATTATTAAGAAAAAGATAACAATAATCAATAGCAAAACACAGTAATATCAAATACAATTAATCTATTTCTATA